GCACTGTTTCGTGACATGGCGATTCGGCCTTGGACAAAGACAGCAACTCTTTAAGGGCAATCTGGTCCGATGAGCCTGTGAGAATGTCAAGTCAATGCATGCTGCATGACTTGCACAGCATGCCGGGCAAGGCCACAACAACCACAGTTTTGCCACCGCGACCACGCTACCGTCCGAAGGACCAACGCTCCTACAGCAGGCTTGTGTCTGCTGAACAATGCCGCCAGCCTGGCAAACTCACTGAATCTACTGACCCTACAAAAGACCAACATCGCAAGCTTTGACCCAAGTGACGGCGGACGACAGCCCTCGCACCCAAAGGCATCCGAAAGCCGAAGCCGTCAGCGTCAATGCACAAGTGTGGCTCAGCAACGACTTCCTAGAGTAGACAGCGCCGAAGCCTGCGGCTGCATGAGGCGCAGCTGTAGATCTCTGGTGACGCACCCCGGGACCCATCCGGGGTTTAGGGCCTCTAGGGGTTTAGGGAGTTTATGGCTTAAGGTTTACTGGGGATGCTGCTCCCGAGGTAGATGGCAGCAACCCAGGTGCCTTGCCTCCGCAAGCTCCATCTGCAAGTGCCTTCTACGCCCTTAGAGTGGGGCCTTCTAGGCTGCAGAGTCACCCTTTTTGGACCAAAAGATATCCCTTACAAAATGCCTCCCAAAAGTGGGTTGGGAATCTACTCCCTCACGTGAACTGAGCCAAGGCCCCCTCGGGGGAGCCCTCCGGTGCAGGAGGATTGCAGGTCCTTCTTTGCCTGGCTTCCCTTTATGTTGGCTTGCTTTTTTCATTGTGTTCATGGTGTGTAGGGTTTAGGGGGTTTAGGCCCTGGAGCTCTCCTGGAGGCCAAGCTGCAACTCAAAAGCCCGGGATGCCCGGACGTCGCCACGAAAAGGACTTTCCCCATTGGGGTGGGACGTCCTGCAAGGATCCAGGGGGAGCTCCTGGCTTAAGCAAGGAGTGTCATCAGGCCCTTCTTCAAGCAGGCAGCCCTAAACCCTAAACCCTGCATACCCTCAGAGGGTTGCTGGACATTCGAATGCAAGCCGTCCTCTCTTGGTGGAAGTTCGCCCCCTCGAGGCAGAATTGTGTCGACTACTCTCACGCAAAGCCTCCCTGACTTTCGGATGCACGGCTTGAACCCACCATCCTCTCCACGACTTGTGGTGAGGAGCTGGGCGGGAGCTGCTTGGAGCCGGACAGCATTTCACAGCTCAAAGATGCCCTGAGCTTGCATTGAGGTCTGCCAGCAACGCCTGTTCGCGACCCTCGGCAGGGTCTCTGCTGGCACTGTGGCGATTTGACACGAACCCAACTGCGATTCCCTCCCGCGGACGGGATCCTGGATTAAAACTAAAGCTGCGAAAAGACTCCAGGCGGAATCCCCCACACCCCAACTCACGCATGCAAGGGGGTCGTCAATGGGTAAGCCTTACATAGACTGAACTGGGTCAGTCAAGACCCTGTTAGATGTCGAATGCCCTTTCCAAACAGAGGGGATGCTCATGGTCCCAAACTTGGCCCACAATGTCGGATTTGGACTGGTAGAGGAAGGAGCTCACCGGCTGCTTCCCTTTGCCAATCCTGCTTTTCATGGAGCTCACCCAGCGTCGAGACCTTGCCACTGAGCTGCAAAGAAGCAGGCGGCACCAAGACTGGATGTCCAGTTCCACGGTGACTGATTGTAGCTTCTTGTGCTGCGAACAACCCCCTGCTTCAAAACTACACGAGTTTTTCAAACAAAGACTGTGTAAAGCATGCTTGCATGCAAAAGAAAATAGGAATCGTGCAGCCATCTGTAATGCATGACAGGAGCTTGGGGGCCAACAGGGTTTCCTGAGAAGAGGGTGGGGTTCAGATCCCCATAGGCTGTGGCCGTTTCCGAATCTTCATGTCATTTCGAAGACTCGGGGGGGGGGCGGTCCAGTGTATCGATGCTCGCAGGGGGCTTCGCAGCTCAGATTGTGGCTTGAGGGTTTGGGGTTTAGTGAGACGCAGACTCTGGTGACAACGGTTCGCCCACTGGCTCCCAAAAAGCTTCCGGAGGAGACATGAGCATGGATTGGTGCTTGGGGATCCCTTTGAGGGCATGTAGCCATGCTCCTGCCATGCGAGCGCCACATCAAACTCACGTCAAGGATCGCGCTGCTTCTCCAGCAGCAGCGCTGTCAGGAAATGGGCCCTGATATTGACAACAAGAGGTTGCGCCACGGCCTTGTCTACATCTGCAAACAAATCAGCCCTGTCAGCGGCGCCCTTCATGACACTATCCCACACGCCACGTTCCCTCGGCTGGATTTTGGCGGGGGCATTTTGATGTCAGGTGGATTTCAAAGCCGCGACTTGCAGCTTGGACAATGGAGGAGCCCGCCCCGTCCAAAGCGGACCTGAGATGTCAGGGAACGGCTACTTACTTCTCCCGGAGCAGCACCGCTAGGAAATAGGCCCTGATGTTAACGACAAGCCGTTGTGCCCAGGCCCAGTGTACATCTGCCGTCAGGTCACCCTGTCAGCAGCACCGGCGTCTGCCTGCAAGTTGTTCTTGCAAGCACAGCACGAGACGGGGTGCTGGCACAGAAACAGTCCAAGCCGGATGCTCAACGAACACGCCTCGACGTATGGCACCAGCTATCAGGCAATCGTCCACCAGTGCACGCATTTCCGATGCATCCCGGAATTTGACAAGCTTCTGCAGCCACAGCATTATTGCTTGTGGCAGCTTGTGCCGTTCCGCGACATGGCGATTCGGCTTTGTTTTTTGGCAGCAACGCGTCAAGGGTATGCTCCAATAAGCCAGTGAGAACATGCTGCATGACTTGCACAGCATGCCGGACAAGCGGCGAGCAACCACGAGATTTCCGGGAATGACGATGCTATCGTCCGAAGCACGCGCGCTCTGGCAGCAGGCTTGTGTCTGCACAAGAAGACTGCTGCCAGCCGGGCAAGTCTACTGAGTCCACTGATTTTACTACAGACCGGCTCGCAAACTTTGACCTGACGGACAGCGGACGACGGCCCGTGAAGCCGGAGGAATTCAGGAAGCCGAAGCCGTCAGTGTTGCGGTGCAGGTATCAGGGGAGGCAAAGCGCATACACGCTCTTCAAGGTCAGCTGCACATCTGCCGCAGAAGGACGCCTGAGCCTCAACGTGCAGATGAAAGGGGCACCACCCTCAGGATACACAAGCACAGTCCAGGCTCCTTGCCTGCACAAGCTCAATCTGCAAGTGCTTTGCAGCATATATTCTGCCCCAGCACCCAAGATGTAGCCGGGCTTGCAGCTCATGCAGAAACGAACCGCATGCCAAACGTGGGAGACTCCGTGACTACCGACTGCCAGTGCGTATCAACGTGTCAATTCCTTGACGGAAGTGACATCGATTTCAAGTTCAGCAATGGCATGCCCCGTCTGGCTCTTGATTGCTGACCGGTACTTTTCCACATCAAGAAGGAACACGGCGCTTTATGAAACCTAAGTTACCTCTCGCCCCTGGTCTTTCTTGCAAAATCAAGCGCAAAGCTCCGCTTGTGCGAAGAGCTGTTTGGCGGGGGTCAGTATGATTTACTGTCGTGATAACGAAAGTACCTCCAAAAACGACTGACCGACTGTTCTTTACAACAACATGAAGCCACCGACTCAAGAATTGTGTCGGTGGATCTGCGTTTTCAATGCGCAGGAAGGGGCGGCTCTGCCAAGAGAGCGATGATGGCGTTCTTCAATAACGGATCTGAGCATGTTGGCCTTTATCACTGCAGGCATATGTCCCTCTCAAGCTCTAGATTTGACTCTACATCCTAAGCCCCGAACATTAAACCGACTAGCCCCCACGCTCTGCAAGAAGAGCTCTTCGGGCGAAGGCAGCTCCAGTCATCTTTGTCTTTTTCCGGAAGCCGACAGGACAACAAAAAGAGCAAAAGGTCTGCCGTTTCTCGGCCAGGCAGCCTAAACTGAGAGCTTGAGAACCCTACACCCTACAACCCCATAAGGTTTAAGGCTTAGGGTTTATATGGAACCGTGGAACCGAAAGAGAAAGTCGCCTTAAAGACTGCTGGAGGCTGCTTCGAACAGAGTCCGAAGGACAGAACTCGATTAGAGGTCCTGGAAGCTTTAAAGTCGGAGCACATATTTGTCTCATGGGTGCTCGTTGGAAAAGGGACCTCTCAAACAGGCTATCTAAGGCTTGTCAGAGATCCCCGTAACGCTCAACCCTCATCCGATTTTGCGTCAACTGCCAGGTCGTCAGAAACCTGAGCAGTCATTTTTGGCGAATCGTGGAGCCGTGCCATGCCTTCAGATAGTCTCATGCAGCTGCACATCAAGACGTGGGAGGCCTTTCTCTCGGCATGGGGCATACAGTAGCAAGCACTCATCCTACAGTCCCCTCCTTGGCCCGGCATGGGTGCAACCATTTCTGCGTCCGACCCTTCTATGCTATGCTATAGGCCAATGGGCTCATACACCATCGAAGAGCAATGCCTCAGGGTTCAGGGATCCAGAGTCATACCGGCCAGGTGCTGTTTCCGATGCGCAGAGCACAGGGTATGGAAAAAGGCAACACCTGCAGTCGTTTTAGGTCCTGTCAAAACTAGCGGCATCGGCCTTTCAGCATCAGAGCCCTGCTTTCAAAAGCCACCCCTGGGCCGTCGCGGAGCAGGGCGAGGAGAGACAATGCGACCCAAACCCTTATCTCCGGGAAGTTCCAATCAAGCAACCAACTGTCGGTTCTCGGTTCTCCCGAAGCTTCATGTTTCCCTGAAACTCAGACCCCAGATGTAGGAGGATCCTTCGGTGTAAAATGACTGTGCTGGCCCAGAGCAGTAGAAGTCTGGGTGCTAAACCCTAAACCCAAAACCCTAAACCCCAAAAAGGCCTTGCAGAGGCTCTTGTGCCGCCTCACCACCGCAGGCTCGCCTTTCCCCTCAGAGCCCTCGATTTAAGGTCTCAGGCTCTTGCGCTTTGAGGCTTTTCCGGGCCTGAGGTTGGGTTCAGGATGGTTTAAGGATGCTTTTCAAGGTGCAACCGGGAGGGCAATCAGACAGCGGCATAGGGAATTCCTTCTCTTCACGAGTCGTGGATACCTCGGTGCTTGCAGGCGACCCCACTCTGCAGAAGAAGAGGCCCAGGCGCCGTCTGAGCATCGCGACGTCTTTGCAAAGCCGCCTGCTGCGGAGCGTAGCGAGCCCCAGTCTGCCCCAGGTTCTGCAAACTCAGCCCAACACGGGGAAGCCCAGGAGAAATGCATCGAAGCATAAGCAGGTGCACAGCGGCGATGCCGCTCCAGTCTTCGGAAAAGGGCACTCCCAGGAGACGCAGCGGCAAAGCGCACCGAATAAACTCAGCGGACATCACATGCACGGGGGCAGGAGGGAGACTTCACAGATGCAGGGACTGCTTTGTTGGCCCAGGGTGGCATCAGAAAGCAAAGCCAATGTGGGTGCGAGCTTGAAGCTTGTCCTTGACTTGGTTTGCCAAAGGCAGATGAAAGCAGGTCAGACAGGAAGGAATGAGCAGAGTCACTGCATGCCTGGAGCTTACCCCGGATTTCTGCCATGCTGCACGGAGCTTCTCACAGTCACTCTGAGATGTTGAAGCCATTTCGGTCGCCCAGGTGGATACAGTTGGGGGGAAGAAGCTACGGCCTACGACTACGAACCTCAATTTTAAGCACCTCTGGGCGAACCAACAATGTATTTGTGGACCCTGTTGCGGTAAGGCTTGTCGGAGCCTGGTAACAGCCTGATCCTCCTCGATCAGGCTTTCATCTCCCATCTGTTCTTGACGGTTGGGCCCAACTCAGGCGGTGCAGGCTCCCACCCCCATGCGATGTCTTGTTGGAAAGAAATGGGAGTTTCCGAGAATAGGGGTACCTTACTTAGGGGTCCTTCTAATAAGGATCCTACTATTTGGGATACTATATGAGAGTCCGCTATTTTCGGAAACCCCCAAATAAATGAGACAGCGTAAAGGCATCTATGCAGCTCCTGCATGAACGATCAAGGAATTCGGTCGACTTCTCCTGCTCCTCGTCGACACTGCTGAAATTTGGAACCGGGTCGGTGCCGATGAGCCCTAGAAAGAATTCTGCACCCGGTCAATGTCGAAGCTCAGACATGCCCCAAGATCAGAAAGATCTGGGCCACAGAAGCAAGCTCCTGGGAGAAGGCCATAAGCCTCTCGCCAGAATGTGCTGGCGTTTCTATAGTTGAGAAAGAGGATCTCTTTCGGAGCATGTTGCGGCGTGGCGCGAGCTCAATCTACCAACCATGCAAGCCTGAAAAGTTGCAGTTTCGGCCTACCGGGAACTGAGCATAGGGATCAAGTCCAGTGTCTTCGTCGGCAGCAACAGACGTCCCAAAGGGTTCCGAAGGCTTTGTCGAGACATGCTTGGTCGAAAGCCTGCCCCATCACTCGCACCCTCACCCTCACCAGATCAATCCACCGTTTCAGATCAATCCACCGTTTCAGAAAGGAACGAGCTCTTCTTTCAGGGCCCCTTTCATGGCCTCTCTGGCTTGAGATGTGAGCGACGACCCCAGCCACGAAGGCTGGCTTCAAGTTCTTGAAACGCGCATGAAGCCCCGCCTGCTCAGATGCTTAGGGTATAGGGCTCGACTTCCCTTGGTGAGATTTTGGCCTGCACAGTTCGATGCTAGAATCGACGACGCCCTACACCCTACGCCCTAAGATGCAATGCAGCGTGCGGGCCCCTGTGCTGTGAAGCACATCGCTGCCTGCTGCCTTCATGCAGAGTGGAGGCTTCACAGCTCTTTTCGGAGTGCTCTGAGCTTCGTCTGCGTGGCTGGGCCAGAAAACTTCTCCATCGGCAGAAACTTCACGAAAAGGTCGGAGAGGGCATCAGCTGATCATCTGTGCCGAAAATTTTCGTGCAGCCTCACAGAATTCTGACATGTCCCGAGGAGTCCGTGAAATCCTCCGTTAAGCACGCGCGGCTCGACATGAGCACTGGACATCCCAGCAACTTCTGCATCTCGAGCTCTTGCAGCTGACTTGCGAAATAAGATATCTGCTAACAGTCCAAGCTGGGGCTGCCACTTTCAAAGCGTCCCTGCCCTGCAAGGGGTCAACACGCGGAAACTCCACCCGGAAGCGTCCGCGGGAGGCGTCGCCAGCAGCGCCAACACGAAAAGCCGCGAAAGATCCGGGCGGCGTGGGGCGCGGCCGTAGCAGCTCTGGACAGGAAACTTATCTTTGGTTATTAGGGAATGGAAGAATGGTAGTAATAGTAGTTGTAAGTGTACCCCATTCCTCCATTCCCTACTAACCCAAGGTAAGGAAAGCCGGAAGATGGAGAACGTAAGGAGGTGCTTGCACGGCGTTTGGAGGTCCTTTCTGTCGCAAGATTCCGACGTTGAAAGGTCCTGAAGGGAAGAAAAAGGGCCATTCGAAGACCAGGATGGATCCGGTCTGCTTCCAGAAAGAAGTTGAGCATGCTCAGGATGGAAGACTCCCTGCTGTTTCTACAGAAACCTCCTCCATGCTTTAGGAAGCTTGAACCTTCCTGCTCAGGCCCTGCGTCCTCAGTTGGGTTGCAGAACTCCTGATATAGAGCACCTCTTCTCTTGGGCAGGCAGAGGGAGTGAGATGAAAGCATCGGCCATGGGCCAATCCTGACACATCAGACTTCCCACAGCTTCCGAAACTTTGAACCCTAAGCCGGCAAGGTTCTCTGATCTACTCAGAGTGCTGGGCCGGGAAGCCCAAATACCAGGCTTGTCAAACCACCGACAAGTGCAACTCCTAAATTCTGCAAGCCCTAAACCCTAAGATGGGTTTAGGGGTTGTAGGCCTTGTAAACTTTTGTAAACAACCCCTAATCCTTCAAGGTCTGGCTTGAGTGCAAGCAACGCAGGACTGAGCCTCAAGGGGGCTTTCCCTTGAGCTCTTTGCAGTGGGAACACCTCGGCTGCAGGCTTCGGGTTTTGGTTTCGAGGCCCAAGCCCTGTTTTGGGCTGAGTAGACCAGCATTTCGAGTGGACCCCGACAAGATCCCGCTTCGACTGCTCTACCGGAACCGCACTCGCGAGCACCGAACCGTGAATGCCCACAAACCCAAACCTCCACACCCACACCCTAAACAACCAATCCCCAACCCCACTCCCTTTCCCGTCCAAAATGCCATTCCAAACGGCCCACTGCTTCAGCCGCCATGCAACTAAGCCCAGGTGCCTCCTCCGAAAAGCCAGGCAAGCTTGGCCTGCTTTGAGCATTTTCGTGGTCGTTCAAGGTTTAAAGGTCCCTTTTAGAGGGATTAGGGTCTAGGGTTTAAGGTTTGGCGTTCAGGGTTAACTTGAGGGCTTATGGTTTGGGTTTGGTTTGACACTGAATGCTCAGATCTTTGAGTTGAGGGTTCAGGGTTTGGGGCTTTGCACTTTTGGGGCGCATCCGGCCGGTTTAGGGCTACCTTTTTCGGGTTCCCTATTATGATTTCTTTAAAAAAGTCCTTAAAAAGGTACATAGGTTCTTGAGGGTTCAGGTAGGGAATCTTCAATGGGGATCAGGCCGGCTAGGAGCCGGAAGGCGCAAAATGAATCTGAAATCACGCAGGAAGCAGTGGCCTCCCGCCAAACCAAAGAGACGTCCCCCGCAAAGCCAGAGAAAGCAAGGACACCCGGACGGTTATTAGACGACAACGTGAACCCTAGCTAGCGCCAGATTCTTCAAGGAACGTCCATCCTCTGAAACTCATCAACCATATACCCTGAAACAGGGCGACAGCGCCTCAGCCGGACCACTGAAACTCCACGCCACCGGACAGTCGGCGGCTGTACCGGCTTCCAGAAGCCAATCTGACATGGTTGGGGGTTGAGGGCTTCGGACTACGGGCACCTACGATCAAGGCCTGCAGAAATTGGCTGTGCGTTCCGAAGACACATGTTGCACGAAACATCCGTGAGGTCTAATGCCAGTAATTCCAAAAAGAGAGACTCGCAGTAGCAATATCAACAGCAATTTTGGAGCCATCAGGTATTGTGTCCGAGTGCTGAGTAGTTTGGATGTCAGGAAGATGTCGGATCTACATGCCATCGGAGTCACAGCGAGCTGAGCCAGCAGTGGCAGCGGCGGCGAAGCACCTGACACGTTCGGAAATTGGGCTTTGGGGTTTGAGATTTTACCCTAAACCCTAAACCCGTAAACCCTAAACCCTTAAACATTCAACTTGATCTCTGCTTGCACTGGGGCTTGATCTTTTTGAGTTTGCACGTGCATGACCGACCTTCCTGCGGACTTTGCAAATACATGCACTTACCTGTGCAAAAGCATGTCCAGTCCATGGACAGCGGGTCCTAGAATTTTTTTACCAGGAAGACCCTAAACCCTAAACCCTAAGCCAGACTCCACTCCTCCGTCTAGGCTTTGACATCATCGCTCGACAGTTCAGCAGCGCACGATCATCCTCGCGTCTCCGCCGCCGAATCCGCTGTCGACAGAGAAGTGTGAGCAAGAGTCAGAGTGTGAAGAGTATTGGGACCGGGAGTGAGAGTACCTGTAGGAGAGTGACTAGCTTATAGAGGAATAACAACATGGGAGTGAGAGTACCAGTAGGAGAGTGGAAACAGGAACGGGAGTGGCAAAAGGAGAAGAGTCGCAGGAAGAAGCAGTAGCCTCTCGGCACCTCTGGACATCCTCGCAGTGACTACTGCTCATGTCTGCTCATCTTCGTCATCACCTCACAATCTTACTAATAGCGACGGAGAAAGTAACAACATCAAGGAATCGGTTTTCAACTTTGGTAGTCGTCGGCGCAAGAAAACAGCAGCACCAGCACCAGCACCAGCACCAGCACCAGCAGCACCAGCACCAGCACCAGCACCGGCAGTTGCAGTAGCTTCGTGATCAGCCTCTACACCGTCGCCATTACTGTGATCGTCATCCTGGTCGTGTCGTGTTCGTAGTGCTTATTGTCGCTGTCGCCGTCGCGGTGCTCTCGGTCTTGGCCGGTGTCAACATCTTCAATGACCACCTACACCAATGGCGATTGTAGCCGCCATCGTCATCATCGGCACAGTAGCAGTAGCACCTCTCATACCGACGACCCAACAACAAGCACGTGTTGCAGAGAAGACAACAGCGAACAATCTTGCCAACAATAAAGAAGCCTTTGCTGCAAGAACGTTGATCAGTCGATTAGACAGTCAAGCAATCAATCAGCTTCAAAGAACGTCGACCAGTTAAGAGCTCCACCAGGGGGGGGAAACTAGGCCGTGCTTGCAGACAAGGCTCCTGTGGTGGATTTCGAAGCCAGCCACGAAAAGTCTAGTGCCCCGGGTCAACGCGCTGCCATTCGCAGGACATTTCGCTCACATGTTGGAACAGATGTGAAGCCGAGCACCGAGATCAGGGGCACCCCGCAACCCCTACTCATAGTCTACCTAAGTTCCACAGATTTGTGATTCCAGAGTCTTCGCTCTGCCTGAAGGAAGTCAGCACAATGGCACGGGCATCGTGCCCTGATTCTTCCTGCAGCACAGTGGAACTCGGAAAACCTGAGAAAGCTGGGCACACCATGATGGCCTCTGTCTCAGGAGACAGGGCCTAGGATAAAGAGATCTCTGCTCCTGTGCGACCAG